GTAGCACCAGGACTCAAGTAGCATCATGACTCATGTAGCACCATGTCTCAAGTAGCAGCAGGACTCAAGTAGCACCAGGACTCAAGTAGCAGCAGGACTCAATTAGCAGCAGGACTCAAGTAGCGCCAGGACTCAAGTAGCGCCAGGACTCAAGTAGCACCAGGACTCAAGTAGCACCAGAACTCAAGTAGCACCAGGACTCAAGTAGCACCAGGACTCAAGTAGCGCCAGGACTCAAGTAGCACCAGGACTCAAGTAGCACCAGGACTCAAGTAGCGCCAGGACTCAAGCAGCATCAAGACTCAAGTAGCACCAGGACTCAAGTAGCACCAGAACTCAAGTAGCACCAGGACTCAAGTAGCACCAGGACTCAAGTAGCACCAGGACTCAAGTAGCACCAGAACTCAAGTAGCACCAGGACTCAAGTAGCACTAGGACTCGAGTAGCACCAGGACTCAAGTAGCACCAGGACTCAAGTAGCATCAGGACTCAAGTAGCACCAGGACTCAAGTAGCACCAGGACTCAAGTAGCGCCAGGACTCAAGTAGCGCCTGGACTCAAGTAGCGCCAGGACTCAAGTAGCGCCAGGACTCAAGTAGCACCAGGACTCAAGTAGCACCAGGACTCAAGTAGCACCAGGACTCAAGTAGCACCAGGACTCAAGTAGCACCAGGACTCATGTAGCACCAGGACTCAAGTAGCGCCAGGACTCAAGTAGCGCCAGGACTCAAGTAGCACCAGGACTCAAGTAGCACCAGGACTCAAGTTGCACCAGGACTCAAGTAGCACCAGGACTCAAGTTGCACCAGGACTCAAGTTGCACCAGGACTCAAGTAGCACCAGGACTCAAGTAGCACCAGGACTCAAGTAGCGCCAGGACTCAAGTTGCACCAGGACTCAAGTAGCACCAGGGCTCAAGTAGCACCAGGACTCAAGTAGCACCAGAACTCAAGTAGCACCAGGACTCAAGTAGGAGCAGGACTCAAGTAGGAGCAGGACTCAAGTAGCACCAGAACTCAAGTAGCACCAGGACTCAAGTAGCACCAGGACTCAAGTAGCATCATGACTCATGTAGCACCATGTCTCAAGTAGCAGCAGGACTCAAGTAGCACCAGGACTCAAGTAGCAGCAGGACTCAATTAGCAGCAGGACTCAAGTAGCGCCAGGACTCAAGTAGCGCCAGGACTCAAGTAGCGCCAGGACTCAAGTAGCACCAGAACTCAAGTAGCACCAGGACTCAAGTAGCACCAGGACTCAAGTAGCGCCAGGACTCAAGTAGCACCAGGACTCAAGTAGCACCAGGACTCAAGTAGCGCCAGGACTCAAGTAGCACCAGGACTCAAGTAGCACCAGGACTCAAGTAGCACCAGAACTCAAGTAGCACAAGGACTCAAGTACCACCAGGACTCAAGTAGCACCAGGACTCAAGTAGCGCCAGGACTCAAGTAGCACCAGGACTCAAGTAGCATCAGGACTCAAGTAGCACCAGGACTCAAGTAGCACCAGGACTCAAGTAGCACGAGGACTCAAGTAGCGCCTGGACTCAAGTAGCGCCAGGACTCAAGTAGCACCAGGACTCAAGTAGCACCAGGACTCAAGTAGCACCAGGACTCAAGTAGCACCAGAACTCAAGTAGCACCAGGACTCAAGTAGCACCAGGACTCGAGTAGCACCAGGACTCAAGTAGCACCAGGACTCAAGTAGCACCAGGACTCAAGTAGCACCAGGACTCAAGTAGCGCCAGGACTCAAGTAGCACCAGGACTCAAGTAGCGCCAGGACTCAAGTAGCACCAGGACTCAAGTAGCACCAGGACTCAAGTAGCACCAGGACTCAAGTAGCACCAGGACTCAAGTAGCACCAGGACTCAAGTAGCACCAGGACTCAAGTAGCACCAGGACTCAAGTAACACCAGGACTCAAGTAGCACCAGGACTCAAGTAGCACCAGGACTCAAGTAGCACCAGGACTCAAGTAGCACCAGATCTCAAGTAGCACCAGGACTCAAGTAGCACCAGGACTCAAGTAGCACCAGGACTCAAGTAGCACCAGAACTCAAGTAGCACCAGGACTCAAGTAGCACCAGGACTCAAGTAGCACCAGATCTCAAGTAGCACCAGGACTCAAGTAGCACCAGGACTCAAGTAGCACCAGAACTCAAGTAGCACCAGGACTCAAGTAGCACCAGGACTCAAGTAGCACCAGATCTCAAGTAGCACCAGGACTCAAGTAGCACCAGATCTCAAGTAGCACCAGGACTCAAGTAGCACCAGGACTCAAGTAGCACCAGAAACTCAAGTAGCACCAGGACTCAAGTAGCACCAGGACTCAAGTAGCACCAGATCTCAAGTAGCACCAGGACTCAAGTAGCACCAGGACTCAAGTAGCACCAGATCTCAAGTAGCACCAGGACTCAAGTAGCACCAGGACTCAAGTAGCACCAGAACTCAAGTAGCACCAGGACTCAAGTAGCACCAGGACTCAAGTAGCACCAGATCTCAAGTAGCACCAGGACTCAAGTAGCACCAGGACTCAAGTAGCACCAGGACTCAAGTAGCACCAGAACTCAAGTAGCACCAGGACTCAAGTAGCACCAGGACTCAAGTAGCACCAGATCTCAAGTAGCACCAGGACTCAAGTAGCACCAGGACTCAAGTAGCACCAGGACTCAAGTAGCACCAGGACTCAAGGAACACGTCACTTCTCATGTCTACCAACAACATATAATTTTCCCAGTATAATCCACCTTGTCCATAATTATTATCGTATTAAGTTTGTTTCGTAAGGTGACGTCCACGATGTTGACTTAATTCATGGTATAACTTAATAAATCTATGACACTTAAGATAAGATAAGATAAGATAAGATTTCGTTCGGATTTTTAACCCCGGAGGGTTAGCCACCCAGGATAACCCAAGAAAGTCAGTGCGTCATCGAGGACTGTCTAACTTATTTCCATTGGGGTCCTTAATCTTGTCCCCCAGGATGCGACCCACACCAGTCGACTAACACCCAGGTACCTATTTGCTGCTAGGTGAACAGGACAACAGGTGTAAGGAAACGTGTCGAAATGTTTCCACCCGCCGGGAATCGAACCCGGGCCCTCCGTGTGTGAAGCGGGAGCTTTAGCCACCAGGCCACCGGGCCACCTGTGTTGTAGAACTCTTACCTTTGCTCACACCTCTACAAGTTATTGATATTAACATGACAGTTATATTAGTTATATTAACATAATATAAAAATTCATTTCTCTGAAACGGGTTGTTACTAGTGAACGGAAAAGTTAGGAGGTAGCCAGGAAGTTGTCAGTCCTCACTGGTGACTCCTCTCTGTCGTGCCCAGAATTGTTGGGGACTTTGTCTTTCTGGAGGTAATAGTGTGTTTTGCTTGTTTCTGTGTTTCTTCTATGTCTAAGGAGCGTCTTACTAGAACTTTGACCTAACCTAGTGGAAACATTTAAAATAACGGAAGGGACGGAGCTTCAGGAATGGGTACGACACTTATAACATTTTACTATGACATGTGGTGCTGTACATTCTATTTTTTTTATAATGATCATTTATTAGGTTTTTCTCAAAATTCCTTTGCGAGTTAAATTAATTTGTGTTTCTCAGGTTGTGATGATGTTGAGGACAGTGCCACTTAGTGCCACTTAGTGCCACTTAGTGCCACTTAGTGCCACTTAGTGCCACTTAGTGCCAGACTATGACTGTTGTAAGTTGTGAGTCAAACAGGATAGATGGGTGCTTAATGGAGTTTAAAACCCTACTATACGAGGGTCAATAAGACTGTATGTCACATGTATATCACCAGTCACTACACCAGGGTGATTAACCGGTAGTGTGTTACCTGTACACCACCAGTCACTACACCAGGGTGATTAACCGGTAGTGTGTTACCTGTACACCACCAGTCACTACACCAGGGTGATTAACCGGTAGTGTGTTACCTGTACACCACCAGTCACTACACCAGGGTGATTAACCGGTAGTGTGTTACCTGTACGCCACCAGTCACTACACCAGGGTGATTAACCGGTAGTGTGTTACCTGTACGCCACCAGTCACTACACCAGGGTGATTAAGACTGTGTTACCTGTACACCACCAGTCACTACACCAGGGTGATTAAGACTGTGTTACCTGTACACCACCAGTCACTACACCAGGGTGATTAAGACTGTGTTACCTGTACACCACCAGTCACTACACCAGGGTGATTAAGACTGTGTTACCTGTACACCACCAGTCACTACACCAGGGTGATTAACCGGTAGCACATAGATCCTTCGCTCACTGTCTGACACCGTGGCTGTGTCCTGGCTGTGTCCTGGCTGTGTGCTGGCTGTGTGCTAGCTGTGTCCTGGCTGTGTCCTGGCTGTGTGCTGGCTGTGTGCTAGCTGTGTGCTGGCTGTGTCCTGGCTGTGTGCTGGCTGTGTGCTAGCTGTGTGCTGGCTGTGTCCTGGCTGTGTCCTGGCTGTGTCCTGGCTGTGTGCTGGCTGTGTGCTAGCTGTGTCCTGGCTGTGTCCTGGCTGTGTGCTGGCTGTGTGCTAGCTGTGTGCTGGCTGTGTCCTGGCTGTGTGCTGGCTGTGTGCTAGCTGTGTGCTGGCTGTGTCCTGGCTGTGTCCTGGCTGTGTCCTGGCTGTGTGCTGGCTGTGTGCTAGCTGTGTCCTGGCTGTGTGCTGGCTGTGTGCTAGCTGTGTGCTGGCTGTGTCCTGGCTGTGTGCTAGCTGTGTCCTGGCTGTGTCCTGGCTGTGTGCTGGCTGTGTGCTAGCTGTGTGCTGGCTGTGTCCTGGCTGTGTCCTGGCTGTGTGCTGGCTGTGTGCTAGCTGTGTGCTGGCTGTGTCCTGGCTGTGTGCTAGCTGTGTCCTGGCTGTGTCCTGCCTGTGTGCTGGCTGTGTGCTAGCTGTGTGCTAGCTGTGTCCTGGCTGTGTCCTGGCTGTGTCCTGGTCGACTCAGTGACCAGCAGTGTGTGTGGAGGTTTGGATAAATGATACACAGGTGTGATAGTCACAGTTTATTACCACTGTCAGCTACATGTGTGGTAGACAGCGAGTGTTGCCTGAGTGGACAAGCGTCTCAGGCATCAGCAGGCACCTCCCTCCCTCTCCTACCAAATACCATGTAGCCAGATATTAACAAAACATAGAATAATCAGAACTGAATAATCAGAGCTGAAATTATAGGGAATTATCACAAGAAATAATTTGTTAATAATTTAAAAACAGACTTTTGTAGAGTTTAAATCAAATATTTTTCCTTTGTAGTTACTGAACCTTTTCGACTCTTCAGGAGGAAAGGGTTGAGTTGTATCTCTTGGTTCTCCCTCTAACGTCGCACAGCTTGAATTACAACAACAGTCGTACCTAGCCTTTAACCCCTGAAGGGAGTTTACTCTCTCAATGTTATTGTTACATTATTCTGCTGCTCCCACAACATGTTAACTACGTATTACCTAATATTCCTCTGGTTACTTTGGGTACGTTATGTTGAGTCATGTTCACTCTCCCTTGTCTCGTTGTATCTGTTCAGAATCTAGCCTGACTGTGCTCCATAGGATTTGTGTCTTATTCTCGCAGTATCTGTTCATATCTCAGGCATCAGTCTTAATGTTCTCCTGTGTCTTCTTGAGTACTTAGAAGTGTGTTATGGAGCCCTCGTCTGACGTCCACAATGGCGCTACGTGATCCAGTATGGGAGTCACTCTTCGGTAAAGTATTTAGGCGAACCTCTCGATGTTGTCAGGGAAGATAGGCCTTGGTTATTCCAAGGAATTTTCTTTATCTATTTCCACGGCCAGTTTTTCTTCCTAGGGAGTGTTCTCTCTCCTGTCTCCTTCATTATCCTCCGATTAAATCGTAATAACCAATTTTTCGACCACTGCTGTAGACTGTCCATTACTTTCAACAACCTTCTTTCACATTCTCTAGTTTATATTCTCCTCATTGTTTTGGCATCATTTGCAAAGAAATTTATGTAGAAGTGAACTTCTATAAGCAGCTACTATAATATTTCATTCCTATTACGAACACAGGTAGCAATTCATGGTCCGTTGCACCTGACCTTAACCACAGTCAGCAATACCGGAAGGAACCGGGCAAGACCTGGAGCATACCTGGCAAGGACTAGGCAGACACAGCAGGAGTTGTCTTTTCTGTAACCGTATATTCCTTCATCACTATGTACAATATTTACACAGTTATTAAGTTAGCAGCATAAATAATAAGACAGAGGAGAGAGCCACTCAGACCAGGAGTGGATTCAACCAGAGTAAGCTAGTGTCTTCCTCACAGCCAGGCAGGCAAGTGTGATGTCAACTTGGCTACAGAGCAGGCTCTCTCCTGATTGGTGGGTTAAACTGGACAATTAATACAGTAGTGGGGCCCCAGAACTGCTATACTCTAAATTATCAGTTGGGTGGCGGAGAGGGCGTGTCTATGGTTGTATTGAACGTCGAATGAAGTGTAACATACTCGACACAAGACACAATTCCTTATAGTGACTTTGTTTTCTAAAGTTTTTTTTTCCCTGTTCCATTCTAATACCTCTCTAGTTAACCTGTTTTCTCTCCAGTTTGCTAAGTAGTTTTCCATGTGTCACTGTATTAAAAGTATTCTTGCTGTTTAGAAACATGCAGTCTGCCTCTCTTTCTATTCCTTGATTGAGTTTCTGGTCTTCTTATCATCACAGTCATGTCTGGAGGACTACACTCTCCCGCCTACATATCGGACACTCACGTCTCACTCACAGGTATCTCATGGAAAAACGCTCAGCGCTACTCTGTGAGAAGTACCAAGTTCCGTTGTTATTTCACTATCTCTTAACAGACTGTCCTGTCTATCAGGTGGCACGCACAATACCTCAGACGTCGTCACCGACCTGACGCACTTACTTTACCTCACCTTCTCGCTGATACTCCCATCTTTAACGCAGACTTCTTTGACTCTTTTGTCAGCAATAGCTTTATTATATCGATTTCAATTATATTTTACCGTCAGCGCTGCCCACTACCCTTACTGACTCTGTCTCTTGCATTTCCTTTCAGTGTTCCGCCTTCTTTGTGTTTATGCTTGATCCTTTATTTCTCTTATTCTCACATGGCTCAAAATGTAGTTTTGATTCCGTTGTTGACTTCGTTGCAATGTCTGTTGCAAAGTGTTATCCACTTCCTTTCATGCGAGGATAATTGTTTGTGACTTCCCTGGCAGCTTCTCTGTTCCATGGCGTTAGGTACTCTTCGTACTTCTCCATGTTTCTGGTGAAGAACAGACGAGGTAAAGGAACTGTGAACTGTGTTCCTTAGTTTACTAAGACGTTTCTTGTCACCTGTGAACCTGTGTTTACAGAGTTTCTTCACTTCTTGTATGTACAATGTCCAGTTCGTACACCTTAAAATACCTCATTCCTTGCTAGTCACATTTCCTGTGCACAAATCTCTTGGATTCTGTAATTCTTCATCTGTTCTTTGGTTTCAGTGTCTACCAGGAAGCAAAGTGTCAACATAAGGTGATCGACCGCTGTGAGGTGTGCTGTATTATCAGTTTTCTCTATGTTGGTCTAGTTGTGGGCGAAAACAAGGTCCAGCCTCGCCAGTTTGGTATCACAGTGTGTGTAGTCGTAAGATTGTTTCTGTTATTATAAACTGTGTGTAGCCAGTCTGCAGACAGTCATTACAAAGTGTGTAGTGTGTGTATCACAAAGCGAGTGTACTGAGTAAAAATTTTGCAAAATCACGAAATAATAGAAAAAAATTGCACAGAATGAGGGATCTCTGGAACAAACCTAAAAAGTGTTTACATGAATCTTTTTAAATATATATGACACGAGATACCTGTGACACACGTCCTGTACACCACAATAGACTGCCTGTGATTTAAAACAGTATTCATATATATATATAAGAACAAGTCTACCAGTCGTGTTGCTTATTTGGTATCGATCCTGAGATGTTTATCTCTCATTAGTCACCTAAAATTACATTTAATGTAACAATATAGTCTACTACTCGTATTACTTATTTGGTATCGATCCTAAGATGCATTTATCTTTTATTCGTCAACTAAACTTATACTTATTATAATAATATAATTTAATATAAATATAATTTATTTCCAGTATCAAGGAGACACAACATTTCCTTGATAGATTTAGTTTGTTGGTTGTAAAGTGTATAGGGAGCACGACGGCCATTAACATTTCCCTCGTACATCTAAAATACAGAGTAAACACTATGTATTTGTATTAACGTTGATAGTATTACCAACAATATATCGCATTAGTTGCACTTGTGTCCTTTTGCTTAACAGTACAGTATTTGCACTAAGAGATATATATTCTAGATATTAACAAAGTGTGAGTGTGGAGGTGCTGTTGAGTTACACTGAAGACTAATCTCGGCGTCACCAGCTACATATCACTATGTGTCTCTTGGCTTCTCTTATTAATGGATTAATGGCCACAGTATCACTATTTTTTCTCATTTTGGCATCAACACCAAATATTCGTCTATATTTCACTATACTATAATGATAAAAATAACTGTATATCAGGTCTTTGGTAAGTTTCATTAGATAAGAGAATTTTTGAAGCGATCTTTGGCTGCCATGTTGTCGTTCCCTGAGGATCGGTTGGTCGACACGCCCTTCACAACGAACACTTTTCCGCTGGCGATGTTCTCTGCTTCCTCCATATCCGGGGGAAGGTCGCTGGGCATGGCATCACACAGCAACTTCGACATCTGCAACATTAACACAGGTGTGCAACATTAGACTCAGTGCAAGAGATAGTAACCCAACACAGTGTTGTAATCCTCATTAACACAAACGTAGATTACGTTTGTTAGCAGCCTCACAAACATACTCTACGTTTGTGAGGCTGCCAACAAGAACGACGCGAAGAAAACAACGTTCTTAAACAAGCCTTCATTGTAAATGGTGTTTTTCTCACCATTAGCAAGAGTCTACATTTAGACAGAGGTTCCCAAACTTTTTTATTTTGTTTGATATTTTCGTAGACACGTTACGTCCCATTACGCCCAAAGTTACGTAGGTGAAGGGGGAGGTACGACACTCAGGGGTGTTCCTACACACTCTTGTCAAGACGTTAGTCAAGACGCAAGACACTGGTCAAGACTTGTCAAGACGCTAGTCAACATATAAGACATCACAGACATACATTGTTGATGTCAACTTGATTATCTTACATCTTGATGTTTCAAAGTTATGAAAGTGGACAAGTGTACTATATTTAAGAGGTTCTGAACCAGGGTTCGCTTTGTTCTTTATTCCTGCCTTAATATTAACGTGATTTATGAATAAACACAAATTATGTGAATAATTTATTGTAATAAAACTAAAGAAAGTATCACACACACACACACACAAACACAGAGGAACCAGGAGCTGTGAATCGACCCCCGCAACCACGACTAGGTGAATACACACACACATAAAGTAACAGTTAACTAAACGAAGCAAGTAAAGCAAGGTTAAGACAGGTCAATTACCTTAGCCTAAGACCTACTTTAATGTTTCTTTCCAAATATGAGAGAAACTCGAAGTCGTGGTCATCATCGCCGAAGGGATTGAGTAGAGCCTCGGCCACCTTGAGCCAACCCAAGTAGAAGAAGAGTTGCAGCAGAGCGAAGATGGGGACGTAGAAGTCGACCAGTTGACCGTCGTAACCCTTGGTGGTGTCCAGGAACTGCTCACCCAGCAGTGAGAAGGTGAAGTAAGCGTACACTGCTATGGTCACCACCTGTAACAACCAGGTAACTTTTAGCTCTCAGCGTACACTGCTATGGTCACTACCTGTAACAACCAGGTAACTTTTAGCTCTCAGCGTACACTGCTATGGTCACTACCTGTAACAACCAGGTAACTTTTAGCTCTCAGCGTACACTGCTATGGTCACTACCTGTAACAACCAGGTAACTTTTAGCTCTCAGCGTACACTGCTATGGTCACCACCTGTAACAACAGAGAGTAATATAAAATTTAGTTGTCTATGACTGAATAGTAAACAACATCGACAAGATGAATAACTAGATACATGTACAACATCTGGGTATCTTATTTGTAGACGTTTCGCCATCCAATGGCTTTATCAGTACAAATTCAAGGACATAATAGGAAGACTGTAGAAGTATACACAAAAGACTAGGTAATCAGTCCCTCAGCCTTGGGGTTCTGTACGCCTTTTCTTTTCCCCTTGTTGGTTTTTGGTAATTTGATATGAAAGGTCAACTGAATTAAGATCTTTAGACAAAGTAGTACGAGCTACTGTGTTACATAAACTATGAACAGGACCACTGTCGGGATGGGAGGTGGTTCCTGGACTGGTAGTGTACGGATTTGTATATGACAAATATAAACCATCCACTAGTGGATGGGAACCATCCACTGGTGGATGAGAACCATCCACTAGTGGACAAGAACCATGCACTGGTGGACGGGAACCATGCACTGGTGGACAGGAACCATCCACTGGCGGACAGGAACCATCCACTGGTGAACAGGAACCATCCACTGGTGGACAGGAACCATCCACTGGTGAACAGCAACCAACCACTGGTGGACAGGAACCATCCACTGGTGGACAGGAACCATCCACTGGTGGACAGGAACCATCCACTGGTGGACAGGAACCATCCGTCTTCTTACTGTCTCGTAGGATCGGGAGGCACAGACGATCTCTCACCCACTAACACACATCACAAACGGTCTACGATAGGCTGGCTTAGGCTCTAAACCACTTGTAACCTCCTCCATTGAGAGTTGTTAGTGAGGTACCCTATTAACCTCGACTCTAGGGAGGCTGAGAGACTATGGACAAAATAAGGTGTTAAGTCTGACCTGTGTGTAGACGAGAGGAATGTTGTTGCCATAATAACCCAGGAGGCTCCCACACTTCAGTCTCAGGCTGAGAATTTCTTCGACGAGGGTTTGTAGTGCAATGTCTGAAGCGATGAGACCGTCCTGCCTGGCCTGTTGAAGTGTCTTGGTGGCCCACATGATGGGTACCCAGGCCTTGTGTTGGTCAGTCTGCTCATCCAGACGACGTAGTATCTGCATTTCTTTATCTGTTACGTAGCCTACCAACACAACAACACTGGTCAGTACACTTGATAAATGTTATTAGAGACATATACATTGACAGCACACACACACACACAGTGTGTGTGTGTACTCACCTAGTTGTACTCACCTAGTTGAGATTGCAGGGATCGAGTCCGAGCTCCTGGCCCCGCCTCTTACTGGTCGCTACTAGGTCACTCTCCCTGAACCATGAGCTTTATCGTACCTCTACTTAAAGCTATGTATGGATCCTGCCTCCACTACATCGCCTCCCAAACTATTCCACTTCCTGACTACTCTGTGGCTGAAGAAATACTTCCTAACATCCCTGTGTGTGTGGATTTAAGGGGGTAGATGTGTGGCTTTAAGGGGTAGATGTGTGTCTTTAAGGGGATAGATATGAACTTTGAGGGGGTAGATGTGTTGCTTTAAGGGGATAGATGTGTGGCTTTAAGGGGGTAGATGTGTGGCTTTAAGGAGGTAGATGTGTGGCTTTAAGGGGGTAGATGTGTGGCTTTAAAGGGGTAGATGTGTGGCTTTATGGGGGTAGATGTGTGGCTTTAAGGGGGTAGATGTGTGGCTTTAAGGGGGTAGATGTGTGGCCTTACATTAAGGAGCAGATGTGTGTAGCGCTGCAGTCAGTGTGGAAGCAGGAAGTTCATACTTGGTGCACCAGTTCACTTGTGTTCACATACTGTAGAAAGATTGTGCACTAAAGGCGGAACCTTGGCAAAAAAAGTCAGTAGAAGTGTGTACTAGTGTGTGTGCACTAGAGTGTGCACTAGTGTGTGCACTTGTCATGTGGGTTTTCGATACGGGATGGGTAAAAATACTCACGTAGGCTGGTAGTACGTATAATATATATCGGGAAGTATGGAAAGCGCCAACAGCCGACCTGTCTCTCTCTGCTGCCTACTACGACTGACCCATAGTGCCTACGGGTGAGGGTGTTTGAAATCCTGCTATGGTCAGCAGCAATATGAATACAGTCAATGATTCACACAGACGGTTGGTAGTGAGTCATCTACTGGTACACTGGTTACTGGTAACTGGTTGCTAGGAACTGGTACTACTACTGAGACAATAGTGTGTGCACTAGTGTGTGCACTAGTGTGTGTACTAGTGTGTGCACTAGTGTGTGCACTAGTGTGTGCACTAGTGTGTGTACTAGTGTGTGCACTAGTGTGTGCACTAGTGTGTGCACTAGTGTGTGCACTAGTGTGTGCACTAGTGTGTGCACTAGTGTGTGCACTAGTGTGTGCACTAGTGTGTGTACTAGTGTGTGCACTAGTGTGTGCACTAGTGTTTGCACTAGTGAATGCACTAGTGTGTGCACTAGTGTGTGCACTTGTGTGTGCACTAGTGTGTGCACTAGTGTGTGCACTAGTGTGTGCACTAGTGTGTGCACTAGTGTGTGCACTAGTGTGTGCACTAGTGTGTGTACTAGTGTGTGCACTAATGTGTGCACTAGTGAATGCACTAGTGTGTGCACTTGTGTATGCACTAGTGTGTGCACTAGTGTGTGCACTAGTGTGTGCACTAGTGTGTGCACTAGAGTTTGCGATCATGTTTTCATTTCTTCATCAGTTTGTTTCAAGTCGTGCCAATTTAAGATTTTGTAAGGTCTTAGGTGCCTTAATTGACACTGGTCACTTCCAGGTACACAGATATGTCAACCAGGTACAGAGGTAACACAGCCAGGTACCGCCACGTCTGAGGTCCTGGATGATAAACAAACGTACCTTCACGTCTGAGGTCCTGGATGATAAACAAACGTACCTTCACGTCTGAGGTCCTGGATGATTAAACAAACGTACCTTCACGTCTGAAGTCCTGGATGATAAACAAACGTACCTTCACGTCTGAGGTCCTGGATGATAAACAAACGTACCTTCACGTCTGAGGTCCTGGATGATAAACAAACGTACCTTCACGTCTGAGGTCCTGGATGATAAACAAACGTACCTTCACGTCTGAGGTCCTGGATGATAAACAAACGTACCTTCACGTCTGAGGTTCTGGATGATAAACAAACGTACCTTCACGTCTGAGGTCCTGGATGATAAACAAACGTACCTTCACGTCTGAGGTCCTGGATGATAAACAAACGTACCTTCACGTCTGAGGTCCTGGATGATAAACAAACGTACCTTCACGTCTGAGGTCCTGGATGATAAACAAACGTACCTTCACGTCTGAGGTCCTGGATGATAAACAAACGTACCTTCACGTCTGAGGTCCTGGATGATAAACAAACGTACCTTCACGTCTGAGGTCCTGGATGATAAACAAACGTACCTTCACGTCTGAGGTCCTGGATGATAAACAAACGTACCTTCACGTCTGAGGTCCTGGATGATAAACAAACGTACCTTCACGTCTGAGGTCCTGGATGATAAACAAACGTACCTTCACGTCTGAGGTTCTGGATGATAAACAAACGTACCTTCAGTCTGAGGTCCTGGATGATAACAAACGTACCTTCACGTCTGAGGTCCTGGATGATAAACAACGTACCTTCACGTCTGAGGTCCTGGATGATAAACAAACGTACCTTCACGTCTGAGGTCTGGATGATAAACAAACGTACCTTCACGTCTGAGGTCCTGGATGATAAACAAACGTACCTTCACGTCTGAGGTCCTGGATGATAAACAAACGTACCTTCACGTCTGAGGTCCTGGATGATAAACAAACGTACCTTCACGTCTGAGGTCCTGGATGATAAACAAACGTACCTTCACGTCTGAGGTCCTGGATGATAAACAAACGTACCTTCACGTCTGAGGTCCTGGAGATAAACAAACGTACCTTCACGTCTGAGGTCCTGGATGATAAACAAAACGTACCTTCACGTCTGAGGTCCTGGATGATAAACAAACGTACCTTCACGTCTGAGGTCCTGGATGTTTAAACAAACGTACCTTCACGTCTGAGGTCCTGGATGATAAACAAACGTACCTTCACGTCTGAGGTCCTGGATGATAAACAAACGTACCTTCACGTCTGAGGTTCTGGATGATAAACAAACGTACCTTCACGTCTGAGGTCCTGGATGATAAACAAACGTACCTTCACGTCTGAGGTCTGGATGATAAACAAACGTACCTTCTCGTCTGAGGTCCTGGATGATAAACAAACGTACCTTCACGTCTGAGGTCCTGGATGATAAACAAACGTACCTTCACGTCTGAGGTCCTGGATGATAAACAAACGTACCTTCACGTCTGAGGTCCTGGATGATAAACAAACGTACCTTCACGTCTGAGGTCCTGGATGGTGGAGAGTTTGTCCTTGACGACGGGAGAGACAGTGGCGAAAGTGATAGCAATACCGAGGTTGATGTAACGAAGAACACTATTCCTTACAGTCCGTGATCCCCTGTTCTGAAACACAGACACAGTCACTCTACTAGCTAGTATCACAGACACTACTAGCTAGCATCACACACACTACTAGCTAGCATCACACACACTACTAGCTAGTATCACAGACACTACTAGCTAGTATCTCAGACACTATTAGCTAGGATCACAGACACTACCAGCTAGCATCACAGACACTACTAGCTAGCATCACAGACACTACTAGCTAGCATCACACACACTACTAGCTAGTATCACAGACACTACTAGCTAGTATCTCAGACACTATTAGCTAGGATCACAGACACTACCAGCTAGCATCACAGACACTACTAGCTAGCATCACAGACACTACTAGCTAGGATCACAGACACTACCAGCTAGCATCACAGACACTACTAGCTAGCATCACAGACACTACTAGCTAGGATCACAGACACTACCAGCTAGCATCACAGACACTACCAGTTAGCGTCACAGACACTACCAGCTAGCATCACAGACACTACTAGCTAGCATCACAGACACTACCAGCTAGCATCACAGACACTACCAGCTAGCATCACAGACACTACCAGCTAGCGTTACAGACACTACTAGCTAGCATCACAGACACTACTAGCTAGCATCACAGACACTACCTGCTAGCATCACAGACACTACCAGCTAGCATCACAGACACTACTAGCTAGCATCACAGACACTACTAGCTAGCATCACAGACACTGCTAGCTAGCATCACAGACACTACTAGCTAGCATCACAGACACTGCTAGCTAGCATCACAGACACTACCAGCTAGCATCACAGACACTACTAGCTAGCATCACAGACACTACCAGCTAGCATCACAGACACTACCAGCTAGCATCACAGACACTACCAGCTAGCATCACAGACACTACTAGCTAGCATCACAGACACTACCAGCTAGCATCACAGACACTACTAGCTAGCATCACAGACACTGAAGAACATCAAAATGGTATACAATACCGACAGGTTGTTAGGTAAGACACATATGCAACAGTTAGACATCTTTATTCCGAAACGTTTCGCCTACACAGTAGGCGAAACTATCAGTTAGCATCACAGACACTACCAGCTAGCATCACAGACACTACTAGCTAGCATCACAGACACTACCAGTTAGCATCACAGATACTACCAGCTAGCATCACAGACACTACTAGCTAGCATCACAGACACTACCAGTTAGCATCACAGATACTACCAGCTAGCGTTACAGACACTACTAGCTAGCATCACAGACCCTACTGGCTAGCATCACAGACACTACCAGCTAGCATCACAGACACTACTAGCTAGCATCACAGACACTACCAGCTAGCATCATAGATGATACATCTATACTCAGTAAACATCAAATAATGTCTAACTAGAAGCAACACGGTAATGTAAACATCACAGACACCGAGTCTAACATCACGTACTGACTTTCTCTTGATAAATTAACCCTTATTCAACTAGAGAGAAAAATAATTTATAACATTCTTATATGGATATTTTCCAAACTATAATGTGTATATTACTTAGATAAGGTGAACAGAATATAATATTCAGCGTCTCGTATACAATAAGTTATAGGGGACTGACCGAGCCTGGTATATATGTGGAGGCGAGTATAGCCAGTGTGTCAGGCCATGGCATACTGCGGTATATATCCCACCAGCGACTGACCACCAGAGCTACGTAGAAACCCAGCACGAACGACACAGGGATGAGTGTCCGGTAGCGAGTGAAGCTTATCACTACTTTCTCAAACAATCTGTAACAAACAGGTGTGTTGTTAGATTTTAGAAGACCTGCCTCACGATCACAAACACACACACACACACACACACACACACACACACACACACACACACACACACGTCAGGCCCATATTGCAGTATGCAGCATCAGTATGGAACCCACGTATGGTGAAGAAATTGAAAAAAGTGCAAAAGTTTGCAACAAGACTAGTCCTGGCGCTAAGAGGTATGTCCTACCAGGAGAGGTTAAGGGAACTCAACCTGACAACACTGGAGGACAGGAGTGATAGGAGGAACATGATAACGACATATAAAATACTAAGAGGAATTGACAAGGTGGACAGAGCTACAATATTTCAGAGTTGTGACGCAGTAACAAGAGGACACAAGTGTAATTTGAAAGCTCAGATGAATCATAGGGATGTTAGGAAGTATTTCTTCAGCCTTAGAGTTGTCTTTAAGTGGAACAATCTGGAGAGTGATGCTGTGGAGGGAATATCTATACATAGCTTTAAGAAGAGGTACAATAACGCTCATGGAGCAGTGAGTGGACCTAGTATCGGCCAGTAAAGAGGCGGGGCCAGGAGCTGTGAATCGACCCCTGCAACCAGTTATGGGTAAGTACATATAAATTAGTGATCGCCTGTGTATTCTCCTGTGTACTCTCATATGTAATTTCATGTGTACTTTCATGTGTTCTTGCATGTGTACTCTCATGTGTACTCTCATGTGTACTCATACACATGCACACACGTTTCTCTATCATAATTAATGAACCACAACACCACCTGTGGGGACCCACCTGTGGGGACAACCTGTGGGGACAACCTGTGGGGACCACCTGTGGGGACAACCTGTGGGGACCCACCTGTGGGGACCCACCTGTGGGGACAACCTGTGGGGACAACCTGTGGGGACCACCTGTGGGGACCCACCTGTGGGGACCCACCTGTGGGGACCCACCTGTGGGGACCCACCTGTGGGGACCCACCTGTGGGGACAACCTGTGGGGACAACCTGTGGGGACCACCTGTGGGGACCCACCTGTGGAGACCCACCTGTGGGGACCCACCTGTGGGGACCCACCTGTGGGGACAACCTGTGGGGACAACCTGTGGGGACCCACCTGTGGGGACCCACCTGTGGGGACCCACCTGTGGGGACCCACCTGTGGGGACACACCTGTGGGGACCCACCTGTGGGGACCCACCTGTGGGGACCCACCTGTGGGGACACACCTGTGGGGACCCACCTGTGGGGACCCACCTGTGGGGACCCACCTGTGGGGGACAACCTGTGGGGACCCACCTGTGGGGACCCACCTGTGGGGACACACCTGTGGGGACCCACCTGTGGGGACCCACCTGTGGAGACCCACCTGTGGGGACCCACCTGTGGAGACCCACCTGTGGGGACCCACCTGTGGGGACACACCTGTGGGGACCCACCTGTGGGGACCCACCTGTGGGGACCCACCTGTGGGGACCCACAGCCTTTCTTTAATTATATAAATCTACACAACCTGGTATTGCAAGAACCATCTACACACCTTCGTAATTATTCTCTCAAAGTTCTCCTCAGCTTCCAGAGAAGAACACTGGAAGGAGGGTGATGGAGGGGCTGGAATAGCAGCTTTAGCAACATTCTTACTGGAAAAATAACTCCAACTCCTGTGACACAGACTATGCGGTATTATCTAACACAATAATGTCTGGCAAAACGTAATTATAAACAATAGTCTTTTTTCTCAGCAGTAACATTGTAAGTCATAGTTTTAGCCACGTGATCATCCGAAATTTACGAAAAATGGATTTACAATGATAAGAAAATACTTGACATCAGACTTTAATCTGACTGACATCATACTTTCAGTGGACTGGATGATGCATTGCTTAAGGTGAATGAGAAAAAAGTTTGGGTTTGGTGAATGCTGTCATTGCAAAAAAAAAAAAAATCTGGAAGAGATAAGTCCTGGGTAGAGAGTGAACTTACTGAGGTTCAAGATATTAAAAATTACAAGGTTCATGTTCAAGGTTTTGGAAGCATTGTGTGGAAAGTTATGCACATCAACTTTGGCAAAGATTTATAGATAATTTTGAGCAGTCGTATCCTCGTCAGTTTCTAAACCTGAACCTGAACGTGCTTCCTAGAATATGGAGTGAACCCCTTCTGGCTGAGTAATATTATCTATCAGGGTTCATCATGGTAATATTTGCTTCACAATATTTTAAAACTACCAGCGGATGTAAGTGTGTGTGGTAGGAGCGCTAATGACCGATTCCCAGATAGAGTGGACCTAGTTACGACCAGCGAAGAAGCTGGGGCAAGAGCTAGAACTCAACCCCTGCAACCACAAATAGGTGAGCACCGCCTCTCAGATACTGCCTCTCTCTCCGACGTTCAGCACGGCCAGCCAAGCCTCCAGACAGCCTACACTCGTAGCCGTGAAGGCTGTTTACATCACCAACCTTGTGCTTGTTTATCTGGAACTGTAACCCACATTTTGTTAACATAAAGTAATTTAAGAGTGAAGGAATGCAGGTTACCACACAAGACCCCAGAGACGATAGAGAAGACCCCAGAGACGATAGAGAAGACCCCAGATGTCATGTGGGAGTTCGAACATGTGGATTGGGTAAAGTAATACTCACGTAGGCTGGTAGTACGTATATTACGGATAATGTGGGGAGCGCCCTTACAGCCGTAACCTTGTCTCTCTTGCTCACTCTCGTAAACTGACTGGCCGCCCACAGTACCCATATGTGAGGGGGTCTTTGAATAGTGCTATGGTCAGCACAATATGAGTTCAGACAGTGACTCAGGCAGAGACGGTTGGTAGTGAGTCAACTACTGGTACACTGGTTACTGGTAACTGGTTACTACTACTGAGAGCTCGGCGACGCAAGAGAGACAAGGTTACGGCTGTAAGGGCGCTCCCCACATTATCCGTAATATACGTACTACCAGCCTACGTGAGTATTACTTTACCCAATCCACGTGTTCGAACTCCCACATGATACAGAGACGATAGAGAAGACCCCAGAGACGATAGAGAAGACCCCAGACGCTCATAACAATGACTAAAATCTAGATTACACAATAGCTGAGACGCGTCTAACCTCACCTTCGTTCAGAGTCGTTGAGAGCGAAGCGGTAGATGAAGGAGATAACGTAGAAGAATATGAGATAAACTACTATGTCCTGCCACACAGTCTTGTAGACGCTCCCTCGCCACCTGCCACAATATCATCATCATTCGTCATCTCTGAAGAAATACGTATATATACATATGACAGTATTCGACAATAATGTATACTGAACTGAGTCGAAGTTCTTAAACCCACCTGATGAGGAGTTTGAAAAAACCTCCTTGACTTGCCACTAAGTCAGTGTACTGGACAGTCATTGCTGTTGCTGTGTGGCCAGGTGGCCACTAGCTGTGTTGCAGCACGGCTCTGGTGGCCTAGAACCCCGGGGTGGCCAACAACGCCGGGGTGGCCAAGGATGTCTGGGTGGCCAAGGACGCCAGAGATGGCCAAGGATGCCGGGAGTGGCCAAGAACGGCTGTGCTTCTGGTCTACGGTGGTGGAGAGCTATGGTGGTGGTGGTGATAAACAGCTGTGGTGGTGGTGGTGATGGTGGTGGTGGTGGTGGTGGTGTTGGTGGACGGCAGTACAGTACAGGTATGGTACTGAACGACGATAACACTCACGTACACGTACAGGTACACTAACTAACGTACGTGCCTAAACAAGCTGCAAAAATAAAGACTAATTAGAAAAAAGTGAACAAGAACAACAATTATGTTTGGTTTATATGAGTCAAACACCGTGTTTGGTTTATATGAGTCAAACACCGTGTTTGGTTTATATGAGTCAAACACCGTGTTTGGTTTATATGAGTCAAACACCGTGTTTGGTTTATATGAGTCAAACACCGTGTTTGGTTTATATGAGTCAAACACCGTGTTTGGTTTATATGAGTCAAACACCGTGTTTGGTTTATATGAGTCAAACACCGTGTTTGGTTTATATGAGTCAAACACCGTGTTTGGTTTATATCTGAGTCAAACACCGTGTTTGGTTTATATGAGTCAAACACCGTGTTTGGTTTATATCTGAGTCAAACACCGTGTTAGGTTTATATGAGTCAAACACCGTGTTTGGTTTATATGAGTCAAACACCGTGTTTGGTTTATATATGAGTCAAATACCGTGTTTGGTTTATATGAGTCAAACACCGTGTTTGGTTTATATGAGTCAAACACCGTGTTTGGTTTATATGAGTCAAACACCGTGTTTGGTTTATATGAGTCAAACACCGTGTTTGGTTTATATGAGTCAAACACCGTGTTTGGTTTATATCTGAGTCAAACACCGTGTTTGGTTTATATGAGTCAAACACCGTGTTTGGTTTATATCTGAGTCAAACACCGTGTTAGGTTTATATGAGTCAAACACCGTGTTTGGTTTATATGAGTCAAACACCGTGTTTGGTTTATATATGAGTCAAATACCGTGTTTGGTTTATATGAGTCAAACACCGTGTTTGGTTTATATGAGTCAAACACCGTGTTTGGTTTATATGAGTCAAACACCGTGTTTGGTTTATATATGAGTCAAATACCGTGTTTGGTTTATATGAGTCAAACACCGTGTTTGTTTTATATGAGTCAAACACCTTGTTTGGTTTATATGAGTCAAACACCGTGTTTGGTTTATATATGAGTCAAACACCGTGTTTGGTTTATATGAGTCAAACACCGTGTTTGGTTTATATATGAGTCAAACACCGTGTTTGGTTTATATATGAGTCAAACACCGTGTTTGGTTTATATATGAGTCAAACACCGTGTCTGGTTTATATCTGAGTCAAACACAGTGTTTGGTTTATATTTGAGTAAAACACTGTGTTTGGTTTATATCTGAGTCAAACACCGTGTTTGGTTTATATTTGAGTAAAACACTGTGTTTGGTTTACATCTGAGTCAAACACCGTGTTTGGTTTATATTTGAGTAAAACACTGTGTTTGGTTTATATCTGAGTCAAACACCGTGTTTGGTTTATATTTGAGTTAAACACCGTGTTTGGTTTATATCTGAGAAAACACCGTGTTTAGTTTATATTTGAGTAAAACACTGTGTTTGGTTTATATTTGAGTAAAACACCGTGTTTGGTTTATATCTGAGTCAAACACCGTGTTTGGTTTATATTTGAGTAAAACACTGTTTGGTTTATATTTGAATTGAACACCGTGTTTGGTTTATATCTGAGTCACACACCGTGTTTGGTTTATATTTGAGTAAAACACTGTGTTTGGTTTATATCTGAGTCAAACACCGTGTTTGGTTTATATCTGAGTCAAACACTGTGATTGGTTTATATTTGAGTCAAACACTGTGATTGGTTTATATTTGAGTAAAGAACCGTGTTTGGTTTATATTTGAGTAAAACACCGTGTTTGGTTTATAATAAACGGTACTATGTTAAGATGGGGTCGTGGCTTCGTCTAGATACTAAACATTTTCAAAGCCCGATGAGAGTGAGTACATGTTGAGTACGAGTGTATGCTGAGTACCATGTGAGCCACCTTGAGTACGACAGTGTGTGCTGAGTACCATGTGAGTCACCTTGAGTACGACAGTGTGTGCTGAGTACCATGTGAGCCACCTTGAGTACGATAGTGTGTGCTGAGTACCATGTGAGCCACCTTGAGTACGACAGTGTGTGCTGAGTACCATGTGAGCCACCTTGAGTACGACAGTGTGTGCTGAGTACCATGTGAGCCACCTTGAGTACGACAGTGTGTGCTGAGTACCATGTGAGCCACCTTGAGTACGACAGTGTGTGCTGAGTACCATGTGAGCCACCTTGAGTACGACAGTGTGTGCTGAGTACCATGTGAGCCACCTTGAGTACGACAGTGTGTGCTGAGTACCATGTGAGCCACCTTGAGTACGACAGTGTGTGCTGAGTACCATGTGAGCCACCTTGAGTACGACAGTGTGTGCTGAGTACCATGTGAGCCACCTTGAGTACGATAGTGTGTGCTGAGTACCATGTGAGCCACCTTGAGTACGATAGTGTGTGCTGAGTACCATGTGAGCCACCTTGAGTACGACAGTGTGTGCTGAGTACCATGTGAGCCACCTTGAGTACGATAGTGTGTGCTGAGTACCATGTGAGCCACCTTGAGTGCGATAGTGTATGCTGAGTACCATGTGAGCCACCTTGAGTACGACAGTGTGTGCTGAGTACCATGTGAGCCACCTTGAGTACGACAGTGTGTGCTGAGTACCATGTGAGCCACCTTTGAGTACGACAGTGTGTGCTGAGTACCATGTGAGCCACCTTGAGTACGACAGTGTGTGCTGAGTACCATGTGAGCCACCTTGAGTACTACAGTGTGTGCTGAGTACCATGTGAGCCACCTTGAGTACGACAGTGTGTGCTGAGTACCATGTGAGCCACCTTGAGTACGATAGTGTGTGCTGAGTACCATGTGAGCCACCTTGAGTGCGATAGTGTATGCTGAGTACCATGTGAGCCACCTTGAGTACGACAGTGTGTGCTGAGTACCATGTGAGCCACCTTGAGTACGACAGTGTGTGCTGAGTACCATGTGAGCCACCTTGAGTACGACAGTGTGTGCTGAGTACCATGTGAGTCACCTTGAGTACGACAGTGTGTGCTGAGTACCATGTGAGCCACCTTGAGTACGACAGTGTGTGCTGAGTACCATGTGAGCCACCTTGAGTACGACAGTGTGTGCTGAGTACCATGTGAGCCACCTTGAGTACGACAGTGTGTGCTGAGTACCATGTGAGTCACCTTGAGTACGACAGTGTGTGCTGAGTACCATGTGAGCCACCTTGAGTACGACAGTGTGTGCTGAGTACCATGTGAGCCACCTTGAGTACGACAGTGTGTGCTGAGTACCCTGTGAGCCACCTTGAGTACGACAGTGTGTGCTGAGTACCATGTGAGCCACCTTGAGTACGACAGTGTGTGCTGAGTACCATGTGAGCCACCTTGAGTACGACAGTGTGTGCTGAGTACCATGTGAGCCACCTTGAGTACGACAGTGTGTGCTGAGTACCATGTGAGCCACCTTGAGTACGATAGTGTGTGCTGAGTACCATGTGAGCCACCTTGAGTACGATAGTGTGTGCTGAGTACCATGTGAGCCACCTTGAGTACGACAGTGTGTGCTGAGTACCATGTGAGCCACCTTGAGTACTACAGTGTGTGCTGAGTACCATGTGAGTCACCTTGAGTACGACAGTGTGTGCTGAGTACCATGTGAGCCACCTTGAGTACTACAGTGTGTGCTGAGTACCATGTGAGCCAGGGGGGGTTCTGTTTCCGGGGCTCTATCTCCCACACAGCCCGGCCAGAGTACAGGCTTCCCTCTTGAGAGCTTGGTCAAGCAAGCTGTTTCTGCTAGTGTCCCGCAGTTTCACACATGCATCATAACCCGGTTGATCCACCACATATAGAGAGTATCTCCAACTATCTTCGTTCCAGCAATATTTATGACATTTGCTGGTAGTAGACTACCATGGTACCATGATTGTTGAACCCTGGATGTTGACACAGTGTACGACTGTATCATGGTACCATGATTGTTGAACCATGGATGTTGACACAGTGTACGACTGTGTCATGGTACCATGACTGTTGAACCATGGATGTTGATACAGTGTACGACTGTGTCATGGTACCATGATTGTTGAACCCTGGATGTTGACACAGCACAGTGTACGACTGTGTCATGGTACCATGACTGTTCAACCATGGATGTTGACACAGTGTACGACTGTGTCATGATACCATGATTGCTGAACCCTGGATGTTGACACAGTGTACGACTGTGTCATGGTACCATGATTGTTGAACCCTGCATGTTGACACAGTGTACGACTGTCATGGTACCAAGATTGTTGAACCCTAGATGTTGACACAGTGTACGATTGTGTCATGGTACCATGACTGTTGAACCCTGGATGTTGACACAGTGTACGACTGTCATGGTACCATCATTGCTGAACCCTGGATGTTGACACAGTGTACGACTGTGTCATGGTACCATGACTGTTGAACCCTGGATGTTGACACAGTGTACGACTGTGTCATGGTACCATGATTGTTGAACCATGGATGTTGACACAGTGTACGACTGTGTCATGGTACCATGATTGTTGAACCCTGGATGTTGACACAGTGTACGACTGTGTCACGGTACCATGACTGTTCAACTATGGATGTTGACACAGTGTACGACTGTGTCATGGTACCATGACTGTTGAACCATGGATGTTGACACAGTGTACGACTGTGTCATGATACCATGACTGTTGAACCCTGGACGTTGACACAGTGTACGACTGTGTCATGGTACCATGATTATTGAACCATGGATGTTGACACAGTGTACGACTGTGTCATGGTACCATGATTGTTGAACCCTGGATGTTGACACAGTGTACGACTGTGTCATGGTACCATGACTGTTGAACCCTGGATGTTGACACAGTGTACGACTGTGTCATGGTACCATGATTGTTGAACCATGGATGTTGACACAGTGTACGACTGTGTCATGGTACCATGATTGTTGAACCCTGGATGTTGACACAGTGTACGACTGTGTCATGGTACCATGACTGTTGAACCATGGATGTTGACACAGTGTACGACTGTGTCATGGTACCATGACTGTTGAACCCTGGATGTTGACACAGTGTACGACTGT